CTTCTCATACTCAGTATTATCAATGACCACATATAGCAAAGTATAACAGTTGAATTTCATTACGGATTCGGAGAAAACATTCCGAACAAATTTTGTCGCACAAATGTTGCCGATATATTTAAACAGCCGTCTGCCTCACTATATAGCTGCTCCAATTTGATTTAATTTTTTGATGGCTAAAAGGAAAATTAACTCTGAGAATATGGATGATCCATTTCTTGGGGTCATATTTTGATATGCTTCATTACATATATCTACGCGCTTCTATTTTATTCTATAATTTTGTTCACTTTATACGACATGATCAGATGCATAAAATTATCACAAAAATTATATATGAGAGATTAGCATGAATTTAAAAAGATCAACCGATGATATCATCAACAGTTTGCTAAGATGACTGAATGTTTAGTATTTGTTCATGAGGTTATCTTTCTTCCTTCTCTTCTCAAGAATAATTTTCCATTTTCAAATATTCGATTGAAAATTGATTAATCTAGAAATCCTTCACTATTTCACATCTACTTGTCATATTATCTTCTTCTTTTTCGCCTTTTTGAATTCTATTTGAAATATGTCAACCGTGATACCAAAGATATTGTCACTACTCATTACGGTATTTGGCGTTCACTGCTATAACCCCCACCACCCGATTGACTGCTATCCCTACCTAATTGGACAACGTTGTTCTTCCCTCAAAAGAAAAAAGGAATAATTCAAGCAGTATTTATTAAAAAAATTATTCTCAAATATTTTGCAAAATTGCATTTTTACTTTTTTTCGATGAACGAAATTCATTTAGCAAATGAATTAGACTAACTCATTATTACAGAAAGCTAATATTGTTAGTTTTATTTTTTTCTGGTACCATTCTAATAGTAGTATAGATAGCTTCATCTTAGAAATGAATTGATATAATAGCAAACATTTTACTAACAAGGAGTAGAAGAGCGTTGACTTCTAATGAATCATCGCCTGAAATCAGCGAAAAAAAAAAAGATTATAATAGGACTAAAGTAGTGAAGACCATAACTAACTGATACATGAAGTGATGGAAATTAAATCGGAAATTTCTAAATTAAATATAAAGACCTCGTAAATATGCCAATAAATCAGAAGATAAAAAATAATTGGGAACTATATGACAACCGAAAATGATGCGGTAAAAATTACTTAAGGTAATAACATAACCAAAAATGTTTAAACAAAAGAAACAGTTCTAAAACATATTTTCTAATTGGATCGATCCCTCATATGACAAGATTTGTTACCCTTTCGTAATACCACACATTCTATTTTTCCGAGCAGAATTTCTCTCAGGTAAATGGAAAGGTTGTTACTGATGGTTGTTACTGATTTTCAGTCAACCGAATTGGGCTGCAAAAAAAACACTCAATAATCTCACATTAGAATTTTCTTCGTCCACTAACAAAAATCAAATGAATTGAAAGATGAAATATGAGTTGCAGCTTGCCAAAAAATGATAGTTTAATTAAATTGAATTAGTCTGAATTAATAAAACTACAAGCCTAGTTAATTAACATTATGCGATATTTAAAGAACATAGAAGTTTTTCTCTAACTAAAGTAATTTAATTTTACTACAGGTTGACTATTTCACCAACACAGAAGTAAAAGTAAGTTGAAAAAAGACTGAACAAACACCGCCCATTTCAAGTAGTCTAAATGAAATTAAAGAACATTTAATTAATAATGTACGAAATAATCGATTATAAAACTGGATAAAAGATTTTTTCTGTTTTATACGCAAAAATATTACTAGTACAAACAAAGACATCGAAATATGGAAATACCGATCCCTTGGAATAATGTTATTGTGCAAAGCTATACATTACATGATAAATGAGAAATATAAAGTGACAGATCATCATTGTCATTTGAACTAATATTCCTCCCACTAACATTACTCCGTATCGTTCATCTTACTCATCTTTCTATCATTTTCCATTTTTTCTTATCCATTGGCATGACTGATTTAATCAGGGTAATGGTACTGTTATAGGAAAGAGCAAAGGTCAGGGATTAGTGAAAGAGGGGATATAGTTCAGTCAATGAAGCGAAATTTTTTTTGACTTTTTCTTCATTTTTAATTTTATCCAGCTTTTTTTCTTTTTCCTTTTTTTTGCAGCACATTTTCCAGTGTTTCAATAATCTTTCGAAGCAAGTGTGGGAATCACAAGTTTGAAATGAAGTCGATAATCCTCAATTTTCAAATTTCACTATGCTCCACGTTTCTTATAAAGAAACGAAATAAACTCATCAAACAGCTTACGTGGCATTCTACCATTATTAATTTTCCATATTTGCTTATGTCTATCTATTCAGTTTTTCTGAGATTTCCCCATTAACATCATCTTTCTTTTGTAGTAAGACAATCTCAGACATTTCGTCAAGTATGTTACCTTGTAATAATAAGACATTTCGTTGAGTACACCACCTTGTAGTAAGATAGTTTCAGAATTTCGCTTGTAGTAAAACATTCCCAAACATTCCGCTCAGTTTTCTACATTTGCTCGGTGATCTATCGATAACTAGAGTTGATTACCAAGTTGACAATGAGTTTCATTTCCATGTTACTCTCTATACGCAACTGTTGAATTTCGGAAATTTGGTTATAACAAGAGAAATGATTAATCCTGTTATTGATTGATAGTTTCAATGAGCGACAGTTTTGTCAATTTATTTTGTTACTCTAATTCTATCTAACCGTCCTTGCTCGATCGTCCTAAAAGGTATATAGGTATTTAAAAAAAAAAGAAAAATAAGTAAATAAATAAATAAAAACAATAATAAATTAAAAATGGTGAGTGTATTGTAAAACTGTTGCGAGAATGGAGCTAAAGGAAATTTTGGAATTTAATTTATATAATCTACAATATTTTATATATGACAGTGATCTTAATTACAATTTACTAGTTAAAAATTTAGTGTGAACAAAGACAATTTCGGCAACCGTTAGAAAAGGCAATAAGATTCTTGCGATAATAAAATTTTTCTCGCTAAAGTTTAAGCATATTTTTAAATTACTTTTTTTTCAAAAATTATTAATTTTCAAATTCCATTGAGAAGTTCCATGTGATAACATAATATATGCTTGCATAATTTTTGTGTAACAAAATATCCAAATATTTTGTGTTTCAAAAAAAAAAGCCAAACTGAAAACAATTTCGATTTCTGTAATCATCGGAAAACCTGGAAAAATTTATAATTTATTGAGACAATCAAAGTATGTGCATTACAAATTTCTATCATAAAACACTGTCTAATTTAGATCATTTTTTCTTGATAAGTGATTCATTACACAAAAATTAAAATAAATTTTTCAATATGTTAAATGATGAAATATTTATCAAATTCCCATAACACTGTTGTAAGGGATTACAACAAGCTAACTGTAATCTTTGGTCTTTAATAAACAGTCGATATGACAATCCAGCTTATACGCATATTGTAAAGGTATCTATAACCTGATAATTATGGTTATATCCAATGGTTCACATATTTAGACTTCCGTTAAATTGATTGTATTCTTTTGTCTTTGAGAATTAATCTTTTATGTAACGTATTGGTTCTGGTAAACTACACCCATTATATAAGGGATTTCCTTAGCTGATCGAGAATAAGCTTCATGTGATGTGCGACAAGTCTCCAAATTGACATTTTCTTTTGACATTTTCGGTTCAAAACAATTCTTCCTATTTTAAATTTCAATCCAACCATGTCTGTTATTTTCTACAGTTGTTAATAATCTATGAATAATAAATCTATCACGATTATCAGTAAACCATTATCAAACTTCTTGTATCCATGTTAAACAATACAAATGGATTTCATCTTCAATAGCTCTTAACACAAATGAGCGAAATGTTTTTTAAAACTTTAACTGGAATGTTACTCAATCTTTTACAACTAATTCGATATAGAAAGCTTCCCGACCAGTTTAAAATTTATGGCTAATCTGTCTACGGCTACAAATTGTTTCTTCCAGGCTTGTTTTTAATAAATTTTTTGAAATGGATTCAGAAAATATCATTTGTTTGAATTCTAACTAAGAAAGATTGTTGTTGAAAAGAAATTTCCCGTTCGAAAAAAAGTAGTGTTGCAAAACTACAGTAATTGACAAAAAAAAATCACTGTTACAAAAAAATACTGTACGATTTGGCTTATCATATTTGCATGTTCTGATGATAATTCTGATGATAAGAGGGAATATTGCAAGATAAGAGAAAAGGATAAATGATTGTAACGTATGTGTTAAATTAATATAATTAATATGTTTATTACATAATTGTTAAAACCAATATATTTATAATGGATTAAGTTATGCTAATCATATTCATTATCATTAGTGCCAGTGACATTAATATTTAAGATTTGAATATATCGATTTAAATGATTCGCAAATGATTAACGATATATGTGGATATCATCATAAGAATTATAATGCATATGCAATTTCGATATTTCGACCTTTATATTTTGTATTCAAAAAAAAAAGAAATAATAAAGAATTTACGAATGACTGTTATATTTGAAAAGTTATACAATGAATGTTTACATTTTACTAAGAAGCCATGTTTATTTTATTGCGATTTCCTAACTTCACACAAATAAAGAAAATAATTATGTCCCTATATAACATAGTCTGAGTGATTGACCATATTGTAGAATCTAATTAATTATTTCTTTCTAGTGTAAATACCAACTTCCTAGCAACAACACTTATACATTTTGAGTTACCGAAAATATGGCAATATCCAAATTAATCTATTCGTAAAGTTTCTCATTGTTTTCTTTTTCGTTTAATAAATTAAAACTTCCGAGTTTCCTTCCTTTTTTTTCCCAAAAAAAACGAAAAAAATTCATTGTAATTTAAAGTTATTTATGTTTCTTTTTTTTCTTTTTTTTTGTTTTGTTTGCAATTCTAATAGCAAAAGCTGAATGATTGTTCCTTGTTTTGAGCAGTTTTAAACAGTAAAAAAATAGAAAAAAATTTTGTTCATTTATTCATTTTATTCCTAATGAAAATAATGCTTTTTATTGCTCAATTTGACAATAAACCGTTGAATTAGTGAAGAGAATTGAAGATGTTTCACATTATTACTTTTATTAAATTATCCTCCAAACTTGTCTAATTAACTTGAAATAAATTTTTAAAAAAAAGGCAAATATGATTAAATGTGCATAATAGTCATTGATATAGTAATGAAGTTTGATTTACAAACAAAAAAAAAAAAACAATTAATTATATCCTAGTAGTATGATCAAAATGATTGTGATAAATGTTGTTGGAAGAGTAGAAGAAATAAAAAAAGTTATGATTAACACGAAATGCACATTTCCGGATTTCGAAAAAAAATGAACTTTAAAGAGAGTTTGTGGGAAAAAAAAATCACAGACTATATTACGATGAGAGTTAACTTTAATAAAGGTATCACAAAATTTCAATAGTCAATAAAATATAATTCTCATACCGATGTAATATCATTCCTGCAATTATATCATTTCTAATTCAAATCAAAATTTATGTATTTTCGATCATTAATTTCGACTAATTTCAACAAAACATAAGTGAAAGATAAACAGTAATTAAAGAAGGAATATTGAAAATTTATCAAAAAAAGAAGAAACAAAGAAAGCAAGAAATAAAAAGAAATGTTAAAAGCTATATATATGAAGTAAAATGAACATGAAATGCAAATAAAGTAAGAGATGCATGAATTTTTACATTTTACGGAATCCTTATCAGTATTTAATACGTCATGTCACGTATACAATACCTCACCGTCACATGCACAATATTTCAACGTCACGTATACAATACTTTACCGTCACTTAACAATACCTAACCGTTACGTATACGATACATCATCGCCACGCATACTTTTATTATTCTCTTTTTGGACAATATATTTGTAATAAAAGAAGAAATTTCACAGAACTCGAAGTAAATACTGAGGGATAGCAAATCAACTGGTCAAAAAAAAAATTACTTTAAATTACTTCTCTAAAAAAAATACTTCTCTAAAAAAAATACTTTATAATTGATATAATACAATTTACTAATGTATTTAATTCAAAAGATAAGACTGATATTCTATTACATATTTTTTACATTTTACTGTTAAATTTAATAAAAAAAAGGAAAAAAAATCATCTAAAATCAAAATAATGAATTGTTGTAATAAGTGACCTTTATCTTAAGCTTAAATGATGTATACATTGAAGTATAATTGAAATAAAACTATAGAAAAGAAAAGCAGAAATAAATACCTAAAATTATTTATACGATTGTTAATTTCTTTCATTTTCATTTATTTTTATGAATGATAATTAATAAATTTAATATTAAAGTGATAAAGGAAGATATTTGTTGAGGTAAATAAATAAAATAAAAATGAAAGTAAAAGATGGGAAAGATTGAAAGAAAAGAAGAATTGGAAAAAAATTATTCAAATTGATTTTTTCGCATTTTCCTGCTCTACTTCTTCATTTATTTCAATGTGATGATGACGACGATGATAATAATAATAATAATAATAGTAATGATGGTAATAGTGATAATGATGACGACGATGGTGATGATGATGATGATGATAATGATGATAATGATAATAATGATAATATATTGCTCCTTTCTATTTGAAATTCAATAATTAACTCATTTTTATATTCAAATCATCAAATTTGTATTTAAAATTTGTTGATTCATCCCAAAGTAATTTTTCTTCCATCTAAAATAACTGGTATTTGTAATGGCAAACTTTTACATTATACACATCATTCATTTATATATTTTACAAAAATTTACAAATATACGGATCAACACACCGATACTTATGAAAAAAAAAAAAGAGTCACACAAATGTTATCATACAACAAAGAGTAATGGATTTTTCTTGTTAAAAAGTTTTTTTTCGTTTCTTCTTTTTTCCTCTGTGTGGTGTGTTTCATAGCTTCGAGGCATTTAGGTTCCTTTCAGGAACTACTTAAATACCGTTTTAACATGCATTTCAATCTTCTTGGAGCTTCTGCTAAAAAGTAATAGAATCTTAGTCAATCTTTATTTGTGCATTTTATTCTCAAATCAAAATGCTAATAAAAATTGCGGTATGCTTTCGTTTTATTTTCAACTTTTTGAAATGATTATTAATTAATTAGTAGTTTTGACGACAATGATGACTTACTTTGAGTGTTTTGAAAATACAACCTATAGTTGCTTATATTTTGCTTCTTTTTTGACAATAAGTGTAAAATATTATAAAGGATATTTAGTTTATCTCAAAAATTGTCAAAACTTAATTTTTATTTCAGAAGTTTCAATTGTTACTTTATTAATGGAGAATTTTTATTAAAAAGTAGATCTGTAAGATAATTTTTCACCTTTTACAATTGGCAATTGGAATCAGAAACAACATTCATATTTTGTTAATTCTTCAGAATTTTCGGTAATTTCAAAAATGAAAAATCATACGGAAAGGTATGGGCTAATAAAATTAATCTCCTATGAGTTATGCACACATTTTCAGATATTATTGGTGGTAACGTTTGAGCAAAGTTCACCACATACTGCTTGCACATGTTGTTGCCAATGCTCACAACCACCATCAGCACCACAACTACCACCAGCACCACAATTACCACCAGCACCACAACTACCACCAGCACCACAACTACCACCACTACTACCGCCACCGTGTTGTTGCCCATGTCCACCACCACAGCCACCACCATCATCACCACCGCCAATCCCAATCATTCCATTATGTTGTTGTTGCCCGTGTCTACTACCATCACCACCACCACCGCCACCACCATCGCCACCACCATCGCCACCACCACTACCACCGCCAATCCCATTCCTTCCATTATGTTGTTGCCCATGCCCACCACCACTACCACCACTACCACCACTACCACCACTACCATCACTACCACCACTACCACCACTACCATCATTACCACCACCACCACCACTTCCACCGCCAATCCCA